TTGTGTCTCTAATGGTGTGATGCCATGGTAACACTCAAATGGTAATGTATCCTGAACTGAAGTGATAATGAGGTTGATCTAGTCCTCATCTTGCTCCAGAGGTTGTCTTGGAACAAGAACAAATGGACATACTTTAGAGTACTTGAAATGCAATTGCTCGAACCTGTTGTTTCAAACTCTGCAAAGTGTTTTTGTCATTTATCAAGCATTACGTGCCTGAAAGATTTTTCTCAATCTAAACACTGTAAGGTTTAGTATATTTTACTTTCTGAAAATGCAATTTTTCACCCTTGCATTTTGTAAAACTGGGAAGTGCACTGAGGGTGTTGCCTTCTCCAGGAATGTTGCACGAGTCCTCAAGGACCCTTAAAAGAGGAGGTTTGGTGCACTCTCCTTTGTACCAACATGTCCTGACTTAACTCCCTCATTGCACAGCACACTATAGTTTATTCAAGTAAATACACTACAGTATTTCATAAAGCTGCAGTTTTAAACATTTCCTAGATAAGTAACATAGAACAGCCTCCCTTGGAAAATAAATCATCATATTTCATCATATAGCATGCCAGTAACCAGCACTTATGCACACAAGAGTTGCAGGGAATGAAGGGTGTCTGATGCCGGTTGGAAGGATCGAGGAGCTGTTTATGCATTTGAGCTCTCAGTCTCATTTTTGTGTTCAACCTCATCACTCAATGTGAAGTATTCTTTTTATTCTCATTCTTTTATTTTGGATTCAATAAACAAGTCTTTTGCTTTATAAATACAGAGTGCATGATCAAAAACGAAATGTTTGCTGTCAGTGCTGACTATGGGTTTTCCTTTGATTAGTTCAGCAAACCCCAAATTACTTCAGTGTTCAGTCAACACTGGGATGCTAGTGAAGTCCTGAAGTGGGATCCAGTGTCCAAATCCATGCAGTCATAGATGAATTTCTATCACAATGGTTGCAGAGGGCAGTCACTGATAGGATAAAACCATACCAAGTTATATAAACCGTACTTTGTCCATTTAGAAAGCTGTTTCCCATGAAGATGTCAGAATTTTCAGAATGATGACTTGGAAGGAACAGTGTTTTTGACTCTTCTATTGTCTTCATGTCATTTTGACCAATGTTTGGTAAAGCATACACAATAAATACCACATTGTTTTTGATACTGGAACCAGGATTTGCCACATTGTCCAGTATAGCTAAACAAGCCTAATAAATGCTCATTCTCAGTTCAGTTCAGTTCTTTTTTAAATTTTTTTTAATAAAATTGCTTTTATTAAAATTATTTTAGAAAGTGTTACATTTGTGGTCTTTATGGGCCATATTTGAAAAAGTTACAGTATGAATTTTCAGCTTTGGCCTTTCAGCATGTTTGTAAACTATTAATCATATCTCTAATCTAGTTGTACACTTTTTACAATTTTGAATATTCCAGAGAAACTGGGATGTTTTGTGAAATGCCATAAAATCTAGAAGTTATTTGTTAATTCTCTTTAAACTCGATTTAATTGACTAAAATACAAAGAAAAAGATAAAAATGTAAATGTTTTCACTGGCCAACTTAATTTTATTTTGTAAATATAAACAAATTTTGATTTTGATGGCTGCAACACACTCCAAAAAAGTTGGGGACAGAGGCATGTTTAACACTGTCACATCAACTTTCCTTTTAATTACAATGTTTAATTGTTTGGGAATTGAACATACTAATTGTTAAAGTTTTGTCCAATCTCGCTTGATACTAAACTTCAGATGCTCAGCAGTCTGTGATCATTGTTGTCTGATTCTCTTTTTAATGACTGGTCATATATTTTCAATAGGAGACAGATCTGGACTGCAGGCAGGCCAGTCTAGCACATTCACTCTGTGTCTACGAAACCACGCTGTTGTAGAACACGCAGAATGAGACCTGCCATTGTCTTGATCTAATAACCATGGACTTCATATGAAAGACGTCATCTTTGTTTGATTGACATATAATAATTGCTGTTAATAGTGTTCGTCTGTTTGATTACGTTTTTAATTGATTTTTCCATACATTTCTGCCATATGTACGTAAACTGACAGTCACCACTAATAAGCTACTACTAAATATTGTAGAAACTTAATTTTCTGTAAAGTTGCTTTGCAACTTTTTGTATCGTAAAAAGTGCTATACAAATAAACTTGAATTGAATTGAATTGAATCTTGATGGCAGTATATGTCTCTTTACAATTCAAATATATGCCTCCATGCCAATGGTGCCTTCGCACATATGCCAGTCACCCGTGCTGTTTGCTCTGCTGCAGGTTTCCTGCCTTGCCCTACATGTACTGAGATTTCTCTGGATTCCCTGAATCTTTTCACAATATTATGTATGGTATTGGTGAAGGACCTAAATTCTTAAGAAATTTGATTTTTGATTTGTTTTGACACTTCTCTCATGAAATTTGGCACAAAGTGATGTGGCATGATCCTGCTTTGCTTGGAAATACTGAGATGCACCTTTTATTCCTAAACATGATACCCTCACCTATTACCATTTCACATCTATTTTATTTTGCCTCTGTCCCAACTTTTTTGGAGTGTGTTGCAGCCATCAAAATCTAAATTTGTTTGTATTTACAAAATACATTTAAGCTGGTCAGTGAAAACTTTGGAAATCTTTTCTTTGTACTTTTGTCAGTTACATAAAAGTTAAAGAGAATTAACAAATCACAGATTCTTGACTTTATTGCATTTTACAAAATGCCCCAACTTTTCTGGAATGGGGGTTGTAAGTCTAGAATAGAGGTCTTCACAGATCACATTTTAATAGATGATTTTAAAAAGTAGCCTATTAATATAAAATATACAGAGCTAGTTGTGCATTTTATACTATTTTCTAAGCATCAGTTGAAATTGTAGCTCTGAAAAAACACAGTGTTCATAAAATTAATAGCAGAATGAATTGTCTTAAAGGGGTCATATGATGCGATTTCAATTCTTCCTTTCTCTTTGGAGTGTTACAAGCTCTTGGTGCATAAATAAGATCTGTAAAGTTGCAAAGACTAAAGTCTCAAATCCAAAGAGATATTCTTTATAAAAGTTAAGAGTCAACCACGCCTACCTAAAACGGCTCGTTTTAACACGACCCCACATGTCTACGTCACTATGTGGGAAGATTTGCATAACGCCGCCCAAATGTTCATGCAAAGAAAGAAGGCGTAACTTTTATTCTCGCTGTAGTATTGTTGCCGCCGCCGCCATGTTGTGGAGACGCTGTGTTTCGTTGTGAAAGCGAAACTACTTTGTTTGGTCTTCCAAAAGAGGATGATATCCACTTCGTCATGCCTGGAGCTTATCCGTGCTGGTCGCTGAGGAAATACATCAACTTCGCGCTGTGGATCGCCGGATCGGCTTTCACTGTGGATGAAGCAGAGTCCAGCCCGGGGTCGTCACATGTGGTTACACTCATCACTCTAGGCCGCCGGCCTCCGCTCACTCTAGCCCGCCATGTGTTTTGTTGTGAAAGCGAAACTACTTTGTTTGGTCTTCCAAAAGAGGACACGACTACAAATGTCATGCCTAGAGCTGATCTGTGCTGGTTGCTGAGGAAATACATCAACTTCGCGCTGTGGATCGCTGGATCGGCTTTCACCGTGGACGAAGCGGAGTCCAGCGGCGCCATGCAACACAGTATAAGTCATTATAATCCGTAATTATGTCCCCACTGGATGCAACAAATGCCTCTTTTATAATGGATTTTAATGTTTTTGTCTCATCGCTCCGGCCGGGCCAGGGCATCACAGTATGGTAAGGGGCGTAACATTTCCGTCACACACTTGAGGTATTCAGCCAATCACAACACACTGGATATCTGGCCAATCAGAGCACACCTCGCTTTTCCAACTGATGAGCTTTGTAAAAATCAACGCGTTTCAAAAAGGCGGGGCATAGAGGAGAAACAATAATGTACAGTGTGTGGAAAATAATGTTTTTTTTTACCTTAAACCGCATAAACACATTTCATTACACCATATACACAAAATAATGTTCTTTTTAGCAACATCATGTGATCCCTTTAAATAATGAGATATTATGAAAATTTGATTCCCAAAGTTCTTTAATAGATTTTTTAAAACTCAAATTGTCTCTACATCAATAATCAAATGAATGAATGAATGGTGAATAGAACAAATATACAATTAACACCACACACGTGTCAACACTACAGAAATGTTATTTCCATAAGTAATTTATCATTTGTCCTATAGCGCCACCTTCTGGTTATTCGATCATCAGTCGAGATGTTTTTCTTATCCACTGTCTGTTAAATCCAGACATATATTATTTTAAAAATTCTGTAAATATAATTATTGAAGCCAGGTCAAATAATAAGAAATCAAAATGTCAATGACAACCATTTTGATGACGAGTTGTGATTGATCTTTGCGTGTGTGTGTATTTATATAAGCCTTAAATTATAAGCCATGAGGTCTGAAAGGATGAAGGAACAGCATATGACCTTGGCTCTTGAGGGCTAACTGAAAAAGTGATAAGTGAAAAGAGAAAACTTAAAAAAAATGCCAAAAAGGCAGACAACTGTGAATGAGCTATTCAGCCCACAAACAACAGGTGAAGACAGATGAGAGTGTTTGGAAGGCTGGCTCTGAAAAACCAGACTGATGAGAGACTCATTACTGTTGTTGAGAATGGCAAGAGCAATTTAAGGAGACAAACAGGAGAGAGAAGTGAACATATTTTAGCAACATTGCAAATTTAGGTCTAGAAGGGAGGTTTTACAAATCACATTTTAATAGGTTGTATTAAAGTATTAGTGTGTAATATACTGTTGTAAATGATCATGGATGGCTAAGAGGAACAGAGACTGAAAATGAAGAGGAAATAGTTTGAAAAAAATAATAGATTTTTTTAAAATAGTAGGCTAATGTAGGTTCATAATAAATTACAACAGATAGCCTATAAAAATTCACAGAAAAAGCAAACAGAAAATATCTAATAAAGTAAATAGAGAATCAAAACAAATATTTTTCACTGTTTATTTTAAAAATTAATAAGAAATCACAAAGGTAGCATCTGTCTGTAATTATAACTCACATATAGTCAACACAGTAAAAAAAAAAAAAAAGGAGATTCTGATTAATGAAACTGGTTTAAAATTTAAATCTATTTCATTATATTGTAATTGCGTTTAACAATTACAAGCAAATGTGAAGCCCCTGATCTAGAATGTATTTATCTACCAAGTCCCTTTTCCTACCCTCATAGTTTTGTATTTAATACTTAATTGATATAAATTCTCCTGGCTGCACCACAGAGTCTCCCACATTTCACAGCATTTGCCCTATTAATCAAACATAAATACAATTCTGTGCTTCAGTAGTTGTATCAGAGTGCTTAAGATACTTTAAAGCGGTGCTAAATGTCTCGATATGACTAGTCCTCTCGTAAATATGCATCTGGGACGTCTTCATCCTCCATTGCAGTGCTGAGAGCATTTTGAAACCTCTCACTGTCCTCAGCTTTAGAGTCTTTGAGTTGTCTCTCAGCTTCCAGCATCAGCTGTCGAACATGTTCCACCTGGGACTGTGAGAGCTGTAGACTGTTCTGTGCTGTCACAGAGGCTTGGTCAGCCCCTGGAGAGGACAAGCATGGTTAAGCTAAAAGGGCTAAATTCAACAAATTACCACCAAGTGGCAGTAGGTGCCAAATTTCAATAGATCTCTACAATAAAATCACACTTATTTCAAAGTAAAATGATGAAAATTAATTTGCATTATAGCTCTATAATAACTGGCAAGAAAACCTTTTGTTGACATGCCCTGTGGTGACATTTTGTTCTTCACTAATTTTTTTAATTGGATGATTATATAAAACATGCAGCTTTTTAACCTCATATTAATTGAGACTAGTATATTTGTACTTTTAAGAAGTAATTTGTCACACCACAGGATCAATAAAAATGCACTAGTAAAGTCAAAAAGGTGAAAATGGTGACCAAATACAGCAAATTACATATGTTCATATAATAATAATAATAATAATAAAAACAAAATCAGTAAATTAGATTTTTCTGAAGGATCATGTGAGACTGAAGACTGGAGTAATGGTTGCTGAAAATGTAGCTTTCCCATCACATGAATAAATTAGATTTGAAAAATATATTTAAATAGATAAGTTATTTTAAATTGTTATAATATTTGAATCAAATAAATCAGTAATAAGCATGTGAGACTAATATTAAAAAAAAAAACGTACCAACCCCAAACTTATATAGTGCAATGTAATATAATAATATAATAACATTGTTTGATTTTTTTATTATTAACTAAAAATCTTGATGTTCATAAAAACATTTTAAAAGATAACTTACTGTTTTTAATCAAATAAATGCAGCCTTAGTGAGCATATGAGACTTTTCAAAAATATAAAAAAAAACATACCGACCCAAACTTATAATATATATATATAAAAATAAATATAATAGTAAATATAATATTGTAAAAAAAAAAAAAAAGTGTTGAATGCCTGTTCCAGAAAATGAGAACTACCTTCATTGAAAGCTGCCTCTGCTGCCAGCTCTGAGAGATCGATGGCCGTCATCCAGCAGGATTCAAATGTAAATACCTCCCCAAAAATTTGATAATTTTTCCAATTACCCCCCCCCCCCATCTTGTTACACTAGTGGCATCATGACCAGCCTACAAAAAATGTGCTTATAAATTTCTTGTTATGCTATTTTATTACCAAATAAAGAATTCAATATTTTTATTAACTGTTTGCTTGTTTTCAATTAGCACAGGTTTTGCATTTCTTTTTGGAATTGATTGTTTGTAATGCCTCATCTGAGCTTAAGCACCTCAGTTTATGAGTGAGCACTGCCAATATTATCCACAAAAAATAATTTTTTCTCTTAAAAACTAAGGTGCATAAACTTAATGTGGCCTACAAATAATCAATTCCAAAAAGAAATGCAAAACCTGTGCTAAACTGAAAGAAAACAAGTTGACAAAAAGATTGGATCTGAGATTTGGTGATAATAAAGTATAATGTGAGATATACAAGCAATTTTTAAAAGGCTGCTTACACATCAAATTAGGTAAAGGACTCTCAGCAAAGCACAAAGGTTAATAGATGTCAAACCTGAAATGTCAACAGTTTAACTTCAAGATACGATTAGAAATAAAATGCATTAATTTTAAATGATTTTAAATGTAAATAAATAAATAAACTCAATGAGTTGAACAGCAATTTTTTCCACATAAATGTAAGAGTAATTACACTGATGCAAATGTAAATGTAATTACAGTGATTTGTACATGAAGATTCCACCAATTATCAGGCATGATGCTATCTTTTGAACTCTGCAATTGTGTACTGAATATTAGCAGCTATAACAATCAAACAGTCCATATTCCAATCACATTATCATGGCTCAGACCTGGATGAAAGGAACGGCACACAGAGCACCCGTGACACTCAAGGTCATCCAGTTGTTCCTGAGGAGTGTGGGCAGCAAAGCCAGTCTGCGGCTGCTCTGACTGGAGCTTCTGCTCATCAAAGAAGCTGCCCAGCTACACAAAACAGAATGCCAAAGCTCATGTCAGGAACAACCTACGATGTATAATTCAGTCACTCAGTACAAGGACAACACTTCATATTCATGACAGTTTTAAACACATGAGGCTAAAATGAAACGGAAAGTAAGCTCCATATTAATAATGAAGCTAAAAACAAGGACGTTAGGCAGCGAACCTACAGACATGTTTGTGTAACAGCAACTATTGTTCCATCCATTAATTAATTGTACAGCAACACAAATACACTACGATTAATTCACGAAATTAAAAAATATTGAAGTATGAGACTATTAAAATATATACCACCTCAATCCAACAGCAAACAATTTCCTTCTGTACGCCGCCATACTTGTTCAGATAAAGAAATGAAAGTCTTATCAACCCCCTATCGGTGTTGACAGAGAATTGCACCCTCAGGTCCTGTTTAATAATAATTAGCCTCATGAATATTTAAGAAGATAGAATCCTTAGCGAATTACACACTTAACAACAACAATACTACTACTATTACTACTACTACTAATAATACATATTTAAGAATAATTCCTGTTTAAGTGTCAATTTCCTTCAGTATTGTTAAGGCAGTATCATCGTAATAATAATAATTAGAATAATAATAAGAATTATTATTGTTGTTGTTGTTATTGATTATACTGCCTAAATGAGACTGATGAGATAAGCCTAAGGGGCCTAATCATTTTTATGCCTCTTTTTGTTCATAATATGCAATCGGTTTTATTTTCTCTGTCTCTATGGCAGTCATGCACAGCAACAACTGCCACAACCAGGTCTGCAAGTATGCTTCTTTCAGCAATGCCATGCCATTTTAATCAAAGCCTGGATCCAGTTTTACATTGTGTTTTTGGTTTGACCTTATCTGTTCTCTCATATATGACCTGAATAACATCGCAACATGATATTAGGCTATATTATTTGGTTTTTTCCCTCTCTTTCAGAATCAGTTTCTACATGCAGTTTTATGATTTAGGCATAATAATAAACAAAATAGAAATTGTTATTTTAGTATCTATTACTATTAGACACTATTATAGTTTTTGTTAATAATTAATTTTAGTTAGTTTCAGTCATTTTATTTTATTTATGTATTTATTTTAAAATGTCTACAAAGATATGTCTACATGCATACATATTTTGTTTTCATTATTAGTTTTCATTATTTTAGTACTTCAACTAAAATGAGTCTAAGATTTTTTTATGTTTTATTTCAGTTCATGTTTATTTTATTTCAAGTAATTAATGCGTTTTTTTATGGTTTTAGTTTCAGTTTTAGTGAATGATAATAACCCTGAATTAAGACATGGGTTTATTTCCAGGAGTTATCAAATTGATTTACAAACAATACAAGTCTTCAGAAGAAGTAAATGCCTTCTTCTTATACTCACTTGCTCTGAATTTGAACTCTGTTGGCTGTCCTCAGCTGCAGCCACATTCAGCTCAAGTGAATATAGTTGAGTCACGTCCAGATGTCACTTCTATTTTAGATTAACCTCTCATTAAAAACGAGTTTGTGAAGGATTTAGGCCCTGATGACAATTATTGTAATCTCTGTCAGTCTTTATGGAAATACCTATTCTCTAAACAATCATAAAAAACAAACACAAAAAGTGAACATAAATATTTAATGCGATCACTAACTTTGAGGTGGAGGGGAGTTCCAGTGTGGGTGTTTGTCTTGATACTCGAGAGCTTTCAAGTCACGAAAGACGCACTTCCTTTTATAAAAAATCACAGAAGGGAAATATACAGTAATAATGTTCTTTGAAAATGCTGATGACATTTCATGAATGTCATCATGATGTTTTTTTTGTAATATTAGACCTTATCAAAACTTTTTGTCAATATTATTCACATTTTTAAAAAGGAAACTTAAAAGCCTGTTCAAAGCTTTTACAATTACTTAATGAAATACTCTTCAAAGCTCTGAATTGTTTGTTTGATTTGACAAATACTGTAATGTATTCTAATGAACGTTCATGCACAGCTAAGGCATTATCTATGAAAAATAAGCCACATATCTAAGGTTGATACCACAAACAGAGTTATAATTACATTTAAATTTCATTAAGTAGAATACAATCCATATAAATTAAATAAGTGCAGTTTTATTTTCCATTCAATTCAAATGAAAATTAAACATGAATTAACATAACAATAAACATTAAAGATACACAAATTATATGGAGTATTTCCAGTATAACAGTAGATGATATCCGTTCTCAATATATGAATTGCCTAAATCTATTTCATTTAAAAAAATAAAATGTACAGACCATGGTAAATAAACACTTAATTTGCCAGAATGCACTAATTGAATTTAATGTCTTCTAAATTTAGCAAATCAATATGAAGCAAGTATGTGAATATATATAGTCTAATATAAATATATTCTTATCTATTTTGTGATTATTGTTGAATGATTTGGAATTGCATTTTAGTAAATTAATATTTCTGTAATTCTTTTTGTATTTGATCAATACAAAATTATTGGAATTTAACATTACAATGAAAAGTTATTTCAACTAAATAAAGTGTATTGACAAGTGTTTTGTCAGAAATGCACAAACTGATAAAAACTGTAATATTGGAACTTTTAATTAAGTTTTGTAACTATGTACTGGCAATATGGGATTTAAGTAGCGCGTCAGTAGCAGCCAGCAGCTTAACCTGTAGCATTTGACTGCAAACCCACTGAAGCTAAACAGGATTTAGCCTGGTCAATCCATGGATGGGAGACCTCCAGAGGAAGCTTATGTTGCTGCAGGAAGTGGCATTAGTAAGTTCAACAGGGGGTTTTCATCCTGTGCCCAATGTCATAGAGGACCATGTAAAAAGGTACTGCTGGCCAAATGTTAAACTAACATTTAACAAGATCCACACGAGTCATCTTTTACTCACTCTCATGTTACTCTAAACCTGTATGACTTTCTTTCTTCTGTGGAACATAAACAAAGCTATCTTGAAGAATGTTGCTTAACCAGTTTTGGTTACAGTAGAAGTTGAAGCTCTTTGGTTACCAACATTCTTCAAAATATTTTCTTTGTGTTCTGCAAAAGAAAGAAACTCATACTGACATATGACATGAGGGTGAGCAAAAGATGGACTATTCCCAGTCTCACTGCCACAAAGCAAATGTAATTTTACAGGGTACAGAGAATACACAGATGTTAATGTTTGACCCTTAATAAAAGCAAACCATTGTATTTATTACAAAGTGTTTGGCCACTGCTTTTGAGTCTGGGCCTTGAAAATGTATAGCCTTGTCTAACTAAATCCTTTTTGGTTTCCCCTATCAGTTACATTAAAGGGGTCATATGATGCGATTTAAATTTTTCCTTTCTCTTTGAAGTGTTACAAGCTCTTGGTGCATAAAGAAGATCTGTAAAGTTGCAACGACTAAAGGCTCAAATCCAAAGAGATATTCTTTATAAAAGTTAAGAGTCAACCACGCTTACCTAAAACGGCTCATTCTAACACGCCCCCACATGTCTACGTCACGATGTGGGAAGATTGGCATAACGCCGCCCAAATGTTCACGCAAAGAAAGAAGGCGTAACTTTTATTCTCGCTGTAGTATTGTTGCCGCCGCCATGTCATGAAGGCGCTGTGTGTTTCGTTATGAAAGCGAAACTACTTTGTTTGGCCTTCAAAAAGAGGATGATATCCGCTTCGTCATACCTAGAGCTGATCCGCACTGTGGATCGCCAGATCGGCTTTTACCGTGGACGAAGCGGAGTCCAGCCCGGGGTCTTAACATGTGGTTGCCGCAAGCCCGCCGGCCGCTCCTTCGTCGAAGGCCGCCGTGTGTGACGCTGTGTTTCGTTGTGAAAGCGAAACTACTTTGTTTGGCCTTCCAAAAGAGGACACGACTAGAAATCAGTGGTTAAGTTGTATTTACAACACTGTTCCAGAACAGTTCAACCCAAATATTCAGATGTGTCCAGCGCATTTTATGGAGGCCTGTTTCCTGATCCTGGTAGAGTAGACTACAAGGCCGGCTGTTCTGACTCGCAGA